TCTTCTTACGTTAGTAACTGCGAGAAAGTAAAAACAATTGTATAATAACAGGGGTCGCTGATGACCTTGACTTATAAAGCGACCATAAAAAAATGTTTAAAAAGTAAAAACTGTGAAAAATTAAAAGAATCTGTGCACATCTTCTTCAGCTTCAAAAGTTTTACATTCCCGTATACATACGTATATACGAAGTAATACACTTAGTATAGAGAAAGTTATGTAATGCTGCTTGAAAAAACAGCGGATTTCCGAAAAGAAAAACAACAACAAAAAAAAACTGCCGGGACCTGATAACAAAAAAATGGATAAATCCAGTTGCAAAATTCAGGGGAAAAAATCTTCTAACACGTGATGTAGATAGAATCCCTGTTTGGTGGATCGTTAATTCCGAAAAATCAATTAACGTCAAAACGTCCGACTCTCCGTCTGAGAACACTTCGTTTTATAGTACGATTTTTTTAACTGTGCGCCTGAGCCCTAATTTCACTTTGGCGTTATCACTATATTTCGTGCTTTTCTCGGCGTCCACTAGATGTCCCATGATCGCAACTCAATCAACCACTACTTGATACGGTCGCGACATCTAGCGGCTTGACCGAGAACGGTAGAGTTTTCGAAAAACTTAATTATGTGAATAATAATGATAAATATAATGAAAAAATGCCGCTAATATAAGTGGCTTGGCCTTAATAGGGCAGAAAAGTGAACAAGATCATTAGCTGGAATCCAGTGAGCACCAGGAGAAGGCCTAAAAATAGATGGAAAGATGATGTTACAGACTTCAGGAAAACCAAGATTGAAAATTGGACCAAGCACTTGAAATAGGAAATAATGGATGAGACGGCCAAGACGTTCATTAGAAGAAGAAGAAGTAGAAAAAGAAGAAACAAAGAAAAAAAAGAAAAAGAAGGAAAAGAAGAAGAAAAAGAAAATGAAGAAAAAAAAGAAGAAGAAAAAAGAAGAAGAAAAAGAAGAAAGGGAAGAAGAATAATTGTGGCTAAAGTGCTTGTTAAGAATGTGCACAGGGTACTGGTACCATCAGAAAACAGTAATACTTGCACCTTGGTCAAATAATGTGTATTTGTTTAAAACAAAGTAATTTCAGTTTGGACTGTCGAGTATTGCTGATTAAATAACCACAGAGGTACTGCTTTCCTCTGCTAACTAGCAAACTAGATCTCATCAAAACATATCCAACAAGAAGCTGCATTTATTAATGAGTTTGTGTTTTACTTCAGTCTCAGTCACTTCTTCATATTTCAAATGAGTAATTGACCGTCATGCATTTTCAATGTCACAATTGGAATGAGTAAAATCCTCTTCAAACTTTATGTGAGTTTATTTATATAAAATGACAAATTATGGGAATCACAATTTATTTTAAAACAAAGACAAGGTAGTTTAAAAATATTTACATTACAAAATGTGGTTGCAAATCATAACATTTTGGACCAACTTCTTCCAATCTTCAGGTTCTATGTTTGATATGTATTACATTCTGAATGCTAAAAATGTGTTGCATGCCATGTCATCACATGCTGGTCAGAGTTCACAGGTTGGCGAAATGGACAGAGCAATGCTAAACATATTGGCACATTTAACACTACCTTTTAGTGTTCTTCTCAAATAAAGAGTTTTTTAATTTGACATTTTATAAATTAATTTGAATTCTGAAGAGGTTTTTAACAATTTTAACTTTGAACGTAAAAAATGCATGATTGTTAATAACTCAACAGAATCATGAAGAAGTGACCAAGCTACATTTAGGTCCAAAAGCAAAGAATGAGGTCATCTCAGCATTTGTTCAGTGGATTAAAGGGCACTGAACAAAAATCGTCATTGTGAATAGTTGCTTATCCATTACCCTTTTAATAGAAAACCTGAATTAGATTTACAAAATTCTTAAGACATTTATAATCTGGGTAATGACACATATTTTTATTAATTTCAAGTGCACCTTCACTTCCTCTGCAAAAGATGTACAACAAGGTGAGACAAGGTGTATTAGGAGGCATAATATCAAATTTTGCACATGAATCTTCCATGATAGTTTGAGAAGTGTCACTCACCCAAACACAAGAATCTGCTCTTTTTTAAGAACCTTTTTATCAAAATTCATCTTAATATGTAGAATGGAGGAAGGTTTTGCATTTTGTAAAATATTATGGTTTGCAATGAAGGCTTAAGAACCTGGATAGCATTTTCATATTAGTTTGAGGAGCAAATTTAATTCAAACCATTCCCCTCTTTTCTAACATCAGTTTTGACATTATAATTTCTGCCATCTCCTGTATTCTTATCTGATTTACAAAACTAAGTTTCACTTCCACAAAGTCACTCCATTAGAGTGCTATGTATTTTTTTTTTTTCAGGAAATTGCAAATTAAACCAAAACAACCAGGATTCAGTAAATTATAAAATTACAATGCCTTCACCATCTTCAGTTGCATCAGTTAGACTATTCAGTTCGATCTAGCTACTGGATTACTCTCTCCATCGTCTTAATGGTTGTGGCATGTATCTTCTCCTTAACTTTCAAGACATTCTAGTTACTCTTTCTTTGGAGATTCCTGACACTACAGTTTTTTCATTTTACTCTATACTGTTTAATAATTTCATTAAACTGCTTTTTCCAATTTCTTCCTTTATTAATGTGGTTAAGAAGTATGTATTCAGCAGTATTTCAAAGAAATTTCATTTCAGTTGATTCAATTTTTTTCATTTCATTTTTAATTAGTGTCCAGGATTCACTTCCATAGAGCAAAATGGGTTAGATCATTGTTTTAAATATTGTGATTATCTTAAACAATCTTGGGTCTGGCCAACACAAAAATACCTATTCATTTTTAACTTTCATGCCTACTACTTATGCATTGTAGAGAAAATATTGAAATGATGGGGGGGAAATGTTGAATTTTTGACAGAAAAACTCTTATTGCCAAAATCTTGTTATACCAACAACCACTGTTTTTCCTCTTTTACCATCCTTCCCACAGTGTCTGCAAACTGAGTAGCGAAGTAAAAGTAAAGTTCATTGAAAATTGATTTTAACTCTCTCATAGACTGCCTTAACATGTTACTTGTCTTTTGTTATACATCCATGCTTCCCTACCATTCAAAATCCTGCTGTATCACATTGCTGATTTACATTAAAAAAATTAATACTGCAAGACTTCTTTTATTATCAGGGAAATACAGTAAATATTGTTTGACTTTTAACAAAATGTACAGTGAAATCTGTATTGTGTGACCACAGTTTGATTTTTGAAAAAATAATATTTTAGAGAGGCGGTTGCTTAATAGGGGAAACATTTTTTAAAATTATTACTAGACATCTGGATGTTTCGAAAAGTGCCTTCTATAAAGAATACTTATGTAAACAAGCATAAATTATCAAAAATTAGACATACATTTTTAAATGCATTTAAAAATATTTGTAACTCCATCTCTGGGGTAAAAGTAAACGCTTAAATAATTTTCAGTTTTAGTACTCCAAATAGTTGTTTCCAGGTAATGAAACTTTATTTACTTGGTTAGACTCACTTTATAATTTTGGTGTGCATGGCACATGGTCTTAGAGAACTCAAAACCTTTGCACAGTTAAAAAATACATCAAGTGCTGGTTTTACAGTTAAAAGTGGGCTTAGATTATAAAAACAATTTAAATACTTGCATATTCTGGATCAAATCTTCTGATATTGACATTCTACCACACCTACGTTCTTTTAGGAAGGTATGTTAAGGAACACTTAATTCAAAGATTTAAATGTTAGGTCACATTTATATCTACTGTCATTAAAAGAAATGGAAACAAATAGAACAAGTAACCATATTAGTCAGTGACCATGGTTTATTGTTACTTTATTCATCAACAATTTTTAATTTTTCTCATTTCCCCACTTTTTTATCATTTTCACTAGGGAAAATTCAGCGTACTACTTATAAATTTTATGAAACTGGTCTTTTACAAGGGACCAGGGACCATTAACCCAGGAGTGCCCACAATAGATCTGTGAGATCAAAGCCACAGCAAGATAATGTTTCTGAATTATTGTGATGCGTTAATCATCTGTTATTTAATGTATTCCTTCATTGTACTTCTTTGAGAACATCTGGCCTCCTATTTTTACCCTTTTACTGAATCATTTCCAGTGATCAAGTTGAAACTTGTTTGCTACACTGTGTGGTATCCACTGGATACGTTGCATGCACTGGTGCCAGTGCATTGTGAGTTCCTGGTGTAAGCGGAACGAATCATACCATTATTTTCAACCGTGTCTGTGATATGTGCCTATTCAGATAATGTAATCATTTGTCTCAACAAGGATTGTCTCTAACAATTTCTTCCCAAAGAGTTCTTTCTCATGAGCAGGCCATGTCTGTAGAGAAATGAAAAAGATGCAAACCTTACAAAATGGTTTTTGCAATGTAGGATTCATTAACAATTGCATTGGGAGACGTGTACAAACTAAATAAAATATGTATTTCAGTACATAGACCTTCAGATCATTCGCATTCACAAAAAGCTGCAGCTATATTCAAGAGATATGTTGTGGGCACTGGTCTACCTATTGTGGGCACTCTCAAGTTAAGGGGCTGATGGGAGAGAGAGTGGTATGTTAACAGGGGGGATAATTTGCATAGAATAAATGTTTTAGAGACTGATTCAAGAAAAATGGGATGCTGAAAGCAGTGGTTGTTAAAAGGGGGTGTTCTTTCAAGGAGAATTCACTGCATTCATTAATTTCAAATAAAAGATATTACTAATTACCCACAGCATTATGATATTTAACATTAATTTCTAAAACTTCTCTCCAAATTACATTTCCAAATTTAGTGTCATTAAAAGCATGAAAACCAGAAATAGCATGAATGCTCAAAAAATTATAATTCTTATTTTAGGAGTGATTAACACTCACTAATAAAACAAAATTTGGTCAAGATTATCACAAAAAATGTTCTTGTAGATAAGAAATGTAAATCATGAATGTTGCACAAACCTTAAAAAAAGGGCTACATGCTGCCAAAATAACTTTGTGTGCTTCCAGGCTTTGGCCTTCAGCCACAATTATGCAATCACACAGCTCTTTTTGTTCAAACTGTCTCTGAAGCCCTCCGATCAATATTTTGTTATGATTCTCCCAATGTGCATTCCGTACCTCTGACATTTTTACACTTCCACTTCCTGAAAACAAGCAATGATGTTAATAATTTGGAAAATAGGGGAAAGTAATTTAAGCAGAGTTGTTTTTCTATCTCATTCTTTAATACCATTCTGATTCTATAACTTCACTAAAAACATTAAATTGACTGTATTAAGGAATAGCAGTGAGAAAAGTAAGAGAAGGATATTTTAGATACATGAATCTAAGATGTGATCAGAGTATATATGATGGATGGATGTGATAACGAGCCTCACAATAAAATGGAGATGAGTATTCAACAAAGGAGTGGGCTGTCATTATGAAAGATGTCAAGGCAAACTGCACAGGACGTGATAACTGAAAAAGAAAATTCTGACTATACAATTCTAGGCCA